GGTACCCTAACTTCTGATACAGAGGAAGTATGTGGTTGCGGAGATATGCTCAAAAGGGGGCCCAGCGGTATGATATACTGTATCTGCCATAAATAAAACGACCGTGCCTCCTCGCAGAGAGTTCTCATCGACACCAACTATGTAACTCGCGTTGTGTTTCCACGATTCACAGCCATCACTTAAGCTATTGGTGTCGATCGGAGCTCTCTGCGCGAAGTTACAGTCGGATTTTTTTGTGGTAGATGCAGGATCATACTGCTGAGCCCCCTTTTGAGCAAATCTCCGCAACCACTTATCGGATTCGACCGTCGAAAGGCTTGTATGATTGGTGTGGGTCATAGCTACACAACGCAATTTATTTTGTGCCAAATTGAAGCTCAATTTATTTTGTGCCAATTGAAGCTCTGTGGGCTGAGGTACGGGCGGTGACGTATATAAGAAATAACGCCACTGGTGACGTAAATAGGATCCTCCAAAGCCCTTCTGAGCAACATTTTTGTGCACATCTCCCAGAGTGCGCGAGACTGCTGTAAGCCGCGTCTCGACGTCCTCGACCCCGCGATGGACCATTTCCCTGGCTTTGCAGGATCTTCGCACTAAGATGAAAAAGTATCCGTTTTTCTGCACACTGCTGCCCCCACTGCTGGATCGGCTCTGTTGTGCCGGTATTGGTGCACACCCCCCAGTGTGAAAGAGACTGCTGTAAGGCACGCCCTATTTTCGCTGAGTACTGACGAATCACTCGATGCTCTCATCTACCGGAGCGTGATCTCGACCATTGGTAGACAGTGGATACAACATCATGGTTCGTTGTGCACCCGAGCACAATGCAACGGAGACAATAGTTCTGGGCAAGCGCAAGTCGTCAGTGCTGATAATATACAGGGCCTTGCATACGGTCTTTACAGCTTGACCTATGTGCGCATCTCGAGTGTGTGTTGCCCAGTCGACCGCGTTGATGTCCCACTGTCTACCAATGGCCGAGATCACGCGCCGGTAGATGAGAGCATCGAGTGATTCGTCAACTTGACCTGTGTGCGCATCTCGAATGTGTGTTGCCCAGTCGACCGCGTTGATGTCCCACTGTCTACCAATGGCCGAGATCACGCGCCGGTAGATGAGAGCATCGCGTGATTCGTCAGCTTGACCTGTGTGCGCATCTCGAGCACTAGTCTATCGTCAACTTAAGAAGTTGGTAGGTAGAAACTCGTTATCTGTATCTGAACACTGCCTGCCCATCTGCCGCCTGTCTGTCCTGTTTGCTCCGTTACTCCCATGCCCTGGTGCGTAGTGCCTGGTGCTGGTACGTTACCCTTTGATTTTTCTTTGGGCGGGTGTGGGAAGCGTCCTCCTTTATATTTGTTTTTGTTTCAATTTGATCGGTTTCCGAGGGCTCTCTTCTCGAACGGTCGGTGCGATACCTGTTCTTTTATTTCTATCATCTTGTATTCTTGTCCCGAGTGGTTTGTACCCTATTTTTGTTTTGTTTCCCCGCGGCGTCGTATGTGCCGGGTTTTGAGACCACGGGACCCCATATTTTGTGGACTATAGAGCTAATGTGAGAAACAACAGCAACACGTAACTCTCCGCGAGGGAGTTTGCTTCGTTCTCGTCCGTCTGACTTTCATTGCGAAACACGCGAGAACATTCACAACTATCATCGAGAAGGCCGCGCCTTTGGCTCAAGCCTTTTACTCAGAGGTGACGCTCAGAGAGCAGGGTTGTTTTCACTATAATATACATACCGGGATTCGAACCCGAGACCTTTGACACAAGAGTCCATGTGTGTAACCGCTGAGCTACATTTTCCTGCTCTGAGAGACACGCTTTTTCCGGACATCCAGCAAAAGAAAAAACAAGAAAATGAAAGTGTTGCTAAACCCTTTTGTGACGGGAGTTACTGTGGCTCTTCCGGGAGGCACAAAAAGCTGTTTACCCCAATAGCTAGTCCGAAATTTGGAAATAGAAAGGGGAAGAAGGACGAAGAAGTCTGACTGGCCGCACACATACGTTGCGAGCAGCGCCCGCGGAGTTGCGCGCAACCAGCACGAGCAAATAGGGCATGTGCAGTGGCCGGGGTCGGGGATAGAGTATCAGGTGCACCCCGAACGGTCTGAAGGGGGAAGGCCCACACCCACCATGGACTTAACCTGCACGTATTCGCAACGGACACATCGAAATCACCCACAAACTAGAGAAAAAGGCTGGTTCGTAGCTGCTGCGTCAACACAGCACCCCGTACACGATGGCTGTCTTCTCTCTCTCTCTCTCTCNCCAATAGCTAGTCCGAAATTTGGAAATAGAAAGGGGAAGAAGGACGAAGAAGTCTGACTGGCCGCACACATACGTTGCGAGCAGCGCCCGCGGAGTTGCGCGCAACCAGCACGAGCAAATAGGGCATGTGCAGTGGCCGGGGTCGGGGATAGAGTATCAGGTGCACCCCGAACGGTCTGAAGGGGGAAGGCCCACACCCACCATGGACTTAACCTGCACGTATTCGCAACGGACACATCGAAATCACCCACAAACTAGAGAAAAAGGCTGGTTCGTAGCTGCTGCGTCAACACAGCACCCCGTACACGATGGCTGTCTTCTCTCTCTCTCTCTCTCTCTCTCTCTCTCTCTCTCTCTGGTACCACGAATGCCTCACCCCGAGCGATGGGCAATCTAACAGCAGTGTCCTACCCGTGTGATCAGTGCCCTTCCGGTGCCTTTCAGTAGGCAACACAACAACATTAGAAACACGCAGGATCGGATGCGATCCGGTAAACGCGGCTGAACGCATGTTGCTGAAGATACAAAATGCACATCAACAGCACATACATCATGCAACGTCTAGCACTGCCGTCAGGTCATAAACGAGCCTTTGCCGCCATTGAGGACGTAGTCCTATCCCTTGCAAGGGCTTAGGCACAAGCGCGCGGCGAAAAATTGCGCATGGCCCTCTGCGAAGCACGCCAGAACAGGTGCCACCCAGTGTACTAGATCGGGAGGTGGAATAGTTTTTTGTGGTGGTTGCACAAAAGTACCAGCAGTACGCTCGTGCGTCTGTTACAGCAGGTTACAGAAGAACGGGGGGCGGTCCATCATCACCAGCTAGAGAGGGGGGTGGTATCCATCATAATTCGCTAGAGAGGGGGTGGTGTCCATCATCAGCTAGCGAGGGGGGTGCTATCCATCGNCACGATCCCTCTAAACAGCTTTTTTTTTGTAAAACAAAACAAAAAGCGTACCCCTAACGGGCCCCACATTTTCAAAAAAAAAACTATTATTAAAAAATCAGTAGTCTATGGTTTTTTTACAAAAGCCACGCTGGACCGCTGTCCATACTAAATTAGACTAGGGTGAGAGATAGACGGAGAGGGAGAGTGTACTGAAAAAGTCCCGCATGCCTTCAACGCCGATAGCGATGTCGATACCCTACGGAGCCCCTCTGGCCACCGCTACACACGCACTTCACGTCGACAATAATGGACGAAATGGACGACGTAGCCGCGTTCTGGCAGCACCATGCTGAGGGTTTCTGTCCACAGGGCAACCCGCTCAAAGTTTGGGAAGAATTACTGCTCATGGCAGCACAAACCCCTGAGCGTTTCCGCGAAGCTTTGCAAGCGGCCGCAGTCGCTGTTGGTGCCCGGTACTGCAACCACGATACTCCGCCGGGTCCGCTCCCTGATATCAGCAAACTGCCGGAGAGGCAGGCCGCCGTACAGCAACACGCTGGATTATGCGGAAAGTACCATGCGGAACACATCGCCAACATCGACGTCACCAGGGTGGAAGAGAGGGCAGCAGGAGCTGAGATCACAACGAAAAGAATGAGGAATCAGGTGTGTGTGTATTGGACTGCTGTGTTGTGGGGTATGCACTGCTGTGTATTTGTGCCAGGAAATGTGTTCGAGGTCAGAGTGGTGGTGGGAGTGCCACACGAACGACATCTATCTGGCTGTGGCCTGCTGACACTTTAGGCCGGAAAGAGAGGCACGTTGTGTTGTTGTGTTGAATACTTAACATATAGTCTTCGACCTGCAGCTGTTGACACAACTTCGACACCGCGAGAGAATCGGTGTTTTTAGCCTTTGACGTTGTTGGTGTCCTGTCAGCAGGCAAAGAAGCTTGTGATGAAAGCTTCTTTGTGCGGGAAGTACGCCGACGGGCGTGTTGGCGGATCAGTTACATGTGTAGTCCATACATACTTCTGGCGGGGGGGTTGTTATCGTCTGGGTCGACATGTTCACAGCCTGTCNTCAGCAGGCAAAGAAGCTTGTGATGAAAGCTTCTTTGTGCGGGAAGTACGCCGACGGGCGTGTTGGCGGATCAGTTACATGTGTAGTCCATACATACTTCTGGCGGGGGGGTTGTTATCGTCTGGGTCGACATGTTCACAGCCTGTCATCAAACGCGCTACAGCAGTAGCAAAATTGCTGGTGCTTTGTTCCACTAAATTTTCGTCGGACAGCATCAAACACCTCGCAGCATGACCTGATCTTCCGAGGGACAAATTCTCGTTGTCGAGAATCTATGTGGACAGGCATAAACAGCACCACCTACCATGTTGTTGCGTTCACACCGATGCCCTTGACGCGTGCAGGCCTGCTACGACGCGGGTACGGCGCTCAACGCGCGAGGCCGTGGGGTTCAGCTGAGGAGGCAGGAGTGCTTCACCCAGGCCTGCTGCGCGGTCTGGCCTGACGACCAGCCGCTGCCCGCAGCCAAACTTGCGATCGTTCGATGTATTGTGTGGCGCACGTGCCATCGGCTACGCACGCGGGGCAGGGTAGCTATGTTGTCTGTTTTGATCAAGCCGAGACCGGTGGGTGAATGTGCTGGCTCGATTTCCCAATGGGCGAACGGGCTAGGGTAGTTGCAGCATATTCGACATCAACCGAATATCAGCCAGGTCTCAAACATGGACGGCGCACGTGTGTGTTGACGGGGGCGGGCTTTGGTGTGTCCCTGTGTATGCTGGAAAGGCTGGTTGTTCACGTGCTGCTGCCAATTGTGAAGGATTGGGTCAACATTCCGTAATACCTTCGTCGTGCAAAAAAAATAGCAACACGAGTTCGTCACGGTTGTTGTCGGTCGCGCGGAGCAGGGCGGACTTGCACTTCGGGTGTCACAAATGAATAAACATAAATAAATCCGAAAAAAAAAAATTCCAACACCTACCCGACAAACTTTTTTTGAGCCCTCTCCGGGGGGGGGTGGGGGNCCATAGGAGGCGCACTCTCGATTTTCCCATAGGAAAGCAGTTCACCATGCTCATGGGAAATTCTGGCTCTTTGCACCAAGAAACACGCTGCGAGAAAACATCGAAACCCCCCCGCTGCGGCCCACAATGGCCAGCCGTGCCGCCCGTTAGGAGAGTTGTGCTCCTCGGTAGGGTGCAAGGGTATCGCTCTACACAGCTGCCGATCTGTGGCAACAAGAACGAGCTTCATCGGTAAAAGGTGCGCGGAGAAAAACTGCAAAATGT